CCTGCCACTATTCCATTCACATTTAAATGAGTTAGTCATAGAATACTGGGTTAATCAGGTAACCGAGATGCGTTAGTTGCATTCGCGAATATAAGGTTAGAGTCCATTTCACTGTTTTATTGCGTCAGTAGAACCCCAAAAATAAGAAATCGGGAGACCATTGCGCAATAATATATGGAAAAGTAGATTCATATTGTACATGAATGACATTTGTATATTTCAGATTTTCTCGTTTTTTTGTGCAATAAGACTGTGACCTCTTGTAATTTGAAGAATTTCAGCCATGTTAATCTTATTGAAAATAACATGGCAGAGAAGCATCCATATATAAGAGGCCACACACTTTATAAGCCAAACTAGAAGCAATCCAAGATATACAAATGTCATTCATGTACAATAGGAACATATTTTTCCATATATTATTGCATGATGATATTGTGATTTCTTAATTTTTAGGTTTTACTGACGCAATTCAACAGTGAAATGGACTAGCTTGTATTCAAGAATGCAAGAAACGCCTGTCGGCTACCGGATTAAACTACCTTTGCAATCGTCGGTATTTTAGCGCGGAGATAAATGTTCAATATGACATAAATATTTGATATGACATCGATGAATACTTTCATCATTCTGGTGGAAATGTCTACCAAACTCCCCTCCCTTGTTCCCCTTCCCCCAAGTAACTTGTTAAGCTAAGTTCACACCAACGGCGCTTTGATGGCGCTTTTAAGCGGCGTGCAAAGCATAATCAACTGATGTGAATTTCTGAAAATTGTGAATAAGCTTATATCGAAAAAGGTAAAAATCCTTTGTTCATGTCACTAAAGGTTCGAAAACGTTATTACATTTTCCAGTTACTTTAGTTACCACAGTTATCCAAGGCTATTTGGGCAAATAAAATCCGTAGTTTGAGTGATCAATTCACGCTCAGCGATACTGCATGGGGGACATGAAAAGTTGTTTATTTTCCAATAAATCCTGCCATCATTTGGTACATCAAAGAACCTGATTATTGGCTAGATTAATGATGTCAAAGGTTGTAGGTAGCAATATGTCCATAACAAAGGATTAACTTATTGCTGAAATTGAAAAAGAACAACCCATGCCATCATCAATCTAGCAAATCCAAAATGACTAATGACTCTGTTTAATGGTAACTGAAAAAAGACTGGAAACTTTTATTATATATAGCAACATACTGAACATAATCGATGGTTTCATTTTGGCAATCGAGGTTTTATTACAGATTCTTATATGATAAACCAAACAACTTTTACATTTACCAGTCGCTTATGGTAATTAGCCATACATTTCTAGGTATACGTTTTATCGCAATCGTGTCAAAATATAAATTGTATTGATAAACAGAAAAGAACACAAAAAATCATATACGGGCGCCATTTTTCTAAGGTGTTTCTAAGTGTTGTTTAATCTCTCTAGACTATCTCTCATCAACGGCTTATTGGAGATTGGTTGAACAATGAACGTGTTATTTATAGCTATAATAACCACGTTGATCGATGCTTGGGCGAATTTTAAGGTTTAAATCAGGAAGAGAGAGGTAGAAAGAGGCGTAATCTTGTGGCAAGTTCCTCACCTCCTACGCACTGAATTGTGTTTCGATTCCCCGTCCATTCTCCACACCGATTTTTTATTTTTAACTCATTGATGTATCCCTTTTAAGGAGTACAGGCTACAGTGAAGCTGTAAAGGAAGGACGTTTGTTTATTTCCATATTTCTGAATGTAAGCTTATACTAGATTTTACATACATGTTTATTCCAAGTGTTCTACTATATATTGTATAGATTCATCAGGCAGTTTTCAGTGTATTATTAGCAGAAAATCCCCATCGACCACGTAATCACGTGGTAGGATAGAAGTGATATAAATACACCCTCTCCAGCTCACAGCAATTGACTAGCTTATATTCACCACTAGCATAGTTCATAGCAAGTGGTGACATCTAATTAATAGATGATTAATCAATTTTATATATGACTTGTAAAATGCCAAAAATCTGAAGTCGCTCTTTTGAGAGGCCCTCTATTGGATGAATGTGTATAAAATGTCAGAGAATATCTCGAAAATGGGACACGATTTAAGAATGAATTATTTTCGAATGTTTCTTAAAAACATATTGAAAGGATTTTTTCATGATATGCTCATGACATATCCCTGTACGCTTTGTTTGTCTTTCTTCTCAAATTGACCCACCGAAATATGCAATACATCAAGTTAAAAAAGTGGTACGAATCATAAAAGCGACGTTGGGTGGTTCACTAGTAATTTTTTGATGGAAAATCTAGAAATATTACCCAAATTAATTTAAGACTATTCAAAAGAAGACATTCAAATCTATATTATGTAAAAAAAATCAAATTGGTCAGAAGCAGGGATAACGCTCAATTAGAGTGATGAACTTCGTTCTCCAAACCGAGAATCATCCTTTTGATTTTTATTGCTCCCACCCCCTTACTCGTTAGGGTCCAATGGTCTTTTTAATATTTGATGACACAAGCAGTCGTCAGACATGTCATATAGATTACAGTTCACTAATTTTATTCATTGGATCGTACTTGAATGGTATTATGGTGAGTCAATAGCGATATTTACCAATTATTGATGTACAATGTATGTGTATATATTGCTTTATTAAAACCTCAGATGCACTACACAAATAAAATAAACATCACATTTTCTTTTATTAATCATTTACTAGATCTAACATGTTTTAAATATCAATTTCATAATTCGTTTTTCTTTGGAGATTTTTGAAGCATCTTACATGTCAAAATATGAGGTAATCCAATTGAGTTCTTCTTTTGAAGGGCTTTGCTACCATTATTTTGGAGAAAATAAAGATTAAACAAACAATCAAACAAACAAACTGCAATACAATAATCATGTTTATTAGTGCTTTATATGTGGTTTGAACAATAGAACATATGTGGAGGCTCTAATATTCATATTGGAAAGCTGTCTTTTCTTCTGAAATAATTTCACATTTCATATTTTTGCGAAGTTGTGTTAAATGTCAATCGTAGAAATACAATGAGGTACTACATATTTTGTATATTTAATCCTGAATAAAAGGAAATTAACATTTTTGCAATCACACAAGAGCAAATTAAACTCAAACCGGTGTCAATGACAAAGTCTAATATTTACTCACCCCAGGCATATTCATCTCATGATGATCTTTTGGAATGTAATACAGATTGGCTCATTTTGATCATATGGCATGGCATTGCCCAATTGAACTGTGATAAGAGCAATGATATCACATTGGTTTTCAGTGTTTGAATGTGGGACCTACCTTATTAAAATAAAGTATACTGTTTATGGATTATGGCATTATTTTTGCTTCTTTATTCATTAAATTCAAATATATTCGATATATGAAACATTCATATTCGCTAAATCATTTTTCCATTCGGTAAAAACATTTATATGTTTGTTACAGCAAATTAAGTTTTCAAAATGGCCAATCACTTAATACTATGTGCATTAAATTACATATTTCATTCGTTAAATGATATTTTTGCGTAAATTGTTATGGTATTCCTTCAGTGTAACACATTATATGCACAATATTGAATTTCTATTTGAACCCTACCGAAATAAGTTTGCCTATATTTACCAAATGGTTTATTTTTCTATGACAAAGTTAATGCATTTTACCGAAAGCTAATTTGCTATTTACCGAAAGCTAATTTGCTATTTACCGAATGCAATAAAGTAATATTCGATAACTTGCGTTGTGGTTCGATATTTTGTCACGTGACTTCGAGATTTACAAAATGGCCGCGCAGCTATTCTACATCGTACAAATATATCACGTGACTGAAAGTCTCGTAAATTATCGAAAAATAACGAAATTTACCGAATGTGGCATTCGGTATTTACCGAATATAAATAATTTAAATACCGAATGTACAAATAATTAATTGAATTATACGTGCGTTAAGGAAAACAAACTGATTTGCTGCATCACACAAATACATGTATACATATCAAATGTGAATGTCAATACAAAGAACAAGTGAAACTATTTAGCGAATATAAATTGTATAGATTATTACATTTGATAAAATAAAAAACATTCGATAGATTGGGTAAAGGTTTGGTAAATTGTTTGTTTTATTTGGTATTTATGGAATATTAATGTACCGAATAAAGAAGCAGTTTAAACACCATAATGGATATCGTTAATGTAAGTGCTTATAAATTAAAAAATTAATTTTTTAGACTATTTCTGGAGTTTACTGTTGAGGTTAGAATTACAATATATTGCAATTGCTTAATCTGCTTTTGCCATTGGTCATAATGTTGTTGTATAATTTATAATTATATATATGCATGTACATGGTACATTAGGCAGGGAATTATAATGTATGCATTGTTTGTACCTTTTAATAATGTAAAGTCATCTGCTATTTTCCAACTTCTTCCTTTATTATGCTTTTCCCTCTAGAACTGCGTCATACACTACTGTGTAAATATATGTTAATCCCATCTTGTCGACTTATTCGTTTACTGTTAATTGCTTTAATTTGACGCAATTTAATTCATTCATTTTCAAAAAATCTGCGGAGACTTAATTCGGCAGTTTCTATCAATCCGCTAAATTAAAACAGCCATCAAACTAAAGCAATTTACAGTATGTGGTAATGCTGAAGATGTCGGCTGATGGCAAATGAAACATCTTACAGATTGTCATCCTACTAAGCAGGTATCCAGAATCCGTACCTCCTTCCCCCTGCTATAACCAATTTGGAAGCGCCCGATTAAACTGAATCACGTGATCTAATTATGCGCAATGACTTATACATGGTTTCTGTCGCAGTGTTGCGACAGCCAATCATATTGCGAGTTCTTAATCGGGGTAAGAATATATTCTGGATTTTTGAAGCCCTTTGATCGGAGGATGACAGATTGTATTTTCAAGGTACTGTTACAAATGATAAATGAATTAATTTACTGTATGTTTGCTTATAGATGGCAGTGAAGATGTATTTGCAATTCCACCAATCCCTACAGGCCTTAGTAAAAACTTTGAGTGCACTCCCTCTGGTGGTGACCACAAGAACCAGAGACCAGACAGTCCCAAACTTTCTCCGATAAAGTTTAGCTTCACGGTTGAGGATAAGGATGAGGATAACGGAGGTCAGTTTATGTTTTATACTTATTTGATTTTTCATGAATTAAGGGAGGTTATCAATTATCAACAGTTACGGAAGAATGAAGTTAATTTTGTTGGGGGGGTATATGATTATAATTTCATTAGTAATGGTGACTTTAGAAATGAAAGCGTATTGTTGGTTCCCACGCTCATTTACTGCATCAGACGCTTCATGAAGCAAGATTGTGAAAATCAAATCAACAAATTAACATTTTCAAATTTAGTTATGGGAGGGCGGAACCATAACAAAATCAACTTTAATTTCCACAATGTTGATAGCTGGACACAATCCAACACGTGAATATAAATGAAATACAGTGAATGGAATAATCAATTTTTGAACTTATTAGAAACAGAAGTTAAAGATTTCCTTGCAAATGTATCTTTGTTGTTGGTTTTAATATATACATTGAAATTTATATTATACATTATGTACATATCATGTCTCCTTTTAGTTCTAAAGCACCCCCACATTATGCAAAAGTAGTGAGCAAGAATAATTTCTTAAATAAAAACATATTGTTTGAAAGTACATAGTACAAATAATGAATATAAATTGTCATTACTATGAACAGAATCAACATAATAGGTGAGTACTCACTTTGGACTTATCTATAAGAGCTACCATCAGTGATCTCCCCAGGATTTTTTTCAAATAGACTAGGTGCAAAGTTCTCATTTTCACAATTCACACTGAAATTTGTCAAAATATGCCCATTATTAAAGGTTTTTCTCATTTTCAAGTGGGTGCAAGCCTGTTTGTAAAATTTCAGGTGGGTGCTGCACCCACTTGCTTTAATCCTGGGGAGACCATTGTACCATACTCATGGTGAATCTAATTGGACACCTAATTTTTATGATTGGGAGAAAACAAATCTGGAGATATAGCACAAAACTTGGAAATAACAATATTATTTTTAATTATTTTTTATCCATGTTTTATATTAGTTGCACTTAATTTTTATATCATAAGTTCAGTGATAACTTAATTTCATATTTCCCTTTTAGAATTTTGTGGTACTAATCTCTGGTTGTCATGGTTACCTGTTAAATTTACTCAAACAGAGACATTTTTATTCAAACATTTCTAATTTCATATAATTGAATTGAACTATTATAGAATAAAAATAGTTTTATGTTCAGATATGAGAGGCTCATTATGTTCGCTGGTATTTATCTTGTTGATTGTATTGAATAGTTTGTTTTGGCAAAGTTTATTTTGATGCTTTTGAATTTGACATTTGATATGATATGAAAGACTTGTACCCCAAAAAACAACTGTCCTTCAAATCCTACACACCCCTGAATATACAACTGATTTATATATTGAGCAATGCAGAAATTATATCTCACAATTTCAAGTAACAAAATGTTCTTGAATGTTCCTATATGTATCTAAAACCATGCATTCTATGAATGACTCGTGCCCAAAACAACTGTCCTTCAAGTCCCTCCCAACTCTGAACATACATGATTTATGAATCACTTAGTACTAAATTTACAATTTATGCAGAATTTTTATTTCACAATCTCAAGTAACAAATTTATGTTCTTGAATATTCCAGATATCCCTGGCATTGAGAAAATGTCTGCCACGAATAATACATTCACAGATGAAGGTGAACACCCCAGATATGCAGTCCAGATGGATATGGATGAAGAACATGAATCTACCTCAAGGTGTTCAACTTCAGATACCCAACAAAAACCATGTGGCCTTTCAACCATCAAAGAGTTCTCAAACACAGATATGGAATGCACCAATCAGGATACAGCTAGCCACACAAATCTGACCAATCAGGACACTGGATATCAGACATGTAGTCTGCAAATGACCAATCAGGATACGGGTCAATTTTCAAATTCAGCCAATCAGGAGATAGGTCAGTTCACATGTTTGACCAATCAAAAGCCAGTAAATGGGAATACCTCCCAGGAGTTTTCTCAATCTAGTGAACAATACAGTCAAGATGAAGAGGGAATCCATCACACAGACCTCACTACACAGATGGGGGGTCTCCCTATGTCATCAAATTCAGACACTGGCCTAGACAGTCTATTTGAAGAAGAAAAAGAGAACTATTTCTCAGTATCGCATCAACCACAAGATAAATACCTAAAACCTCGCATTTTAGGTCGTTCCTTTGGTATGATCAATACAAATACAGATATTGTAAATACATGTGAGGCGAAAGTGGCGTCTTATGATTCTAATATAAGAGGCGTAGTTCCGCAACATGGTGCGAGACTTAATCCAAGGATTATTGAAAACGCTGGATCATCAGGGTTTCCATGGCAACCACTTGGGTCATCTACACCTCATAAGGTTGACATGGAAACGGGAAATATACAATAATGCACCTGGTGTTCCAAATTAAGTTTCTGAACTGAAAAGACTGACTGAGATTATAATCCACTTTTAGAATAATTTTAGAATATGTAATATTTTTTCTCCATGATTTATCATAATTAGAGGTTATGTCACTATCGTGGCATATATGCCCGAGGTCTCAGTAATATATGGCCCGACCTTGGGAGGGACATTGATCTCTGAGAACCGAGGGCATATGTGCCACGATAGTGACATAAACGATTTTTAACATACCTATGATGATGTAGACTGGTCAGAGAGTACCGTTTTCTTATAGAATTGACAAACAAATGGTTTGAAAATGATTGAAATGAGTTTATAAAAATTGCCCGCGCAGTTTTATCTTCGATTGATTGGTTATGACGTCAGCGCCTTGACCAATCAGAAAGTTGTGGGCGCGGGCTTTTCAAAACTTATATTGGCCCGCTGTCTTGTGTACACTTTGCACTATACATCATCATAGGTATGTTATAATTATTATTATTATATGTTGTAATCATGAATAATTGAGAACAACCACGACAATTGAAATCCAATCCAATAATCAGGTAATAATTCATTTTGTACAAATTCATACATGTCGTTTTTTATATTGTTTTATAATACATATCTGGGGGCAAGGTAGAAATATCAATGTTTTTCATGTGAAACAAACTCTACACTTTAGCAGTTTAGAGCCCTTTACTCATTATTTCAATTTATTAGATTTAAACAAGCAGTGAAGTCACATTTTCTCATAACTCAGTGTTCAATCTTTTTATCCTACTTTATCAATACTGTAGATACTCTTAATTTGGCTAATGCTTTAATTTGACGAATTGGCGGATTGAAAAAATCCACCAGTTTTTAGATCTTTTTCAAAAATTCCCAGGGTATTTGTAATTTGCAATTATTTCACTTGTGTAAGTATTCATATTTGGATGTCAGTGCCATACCAAGACCTACTGTAAGTAGAACTCATGAATCTGAAGTACTTATTTCCAGATCAATGATAAAAACTTGAGCTCAGTCCTGACTCCGCCAAATTAAATAGCTGCCAATATTTGAAATTGAGCAAAACCGCCAAATTAAGTGTATCTACAGAATATTGTTGCCATCTTGTGTCGATGGGCTTGTGTACGTCTGGGTTGATGGGTGGTTCGGAGCCACGTAAATCTTCTCATTGAAATTCTGGGCAAACCACTTATCTGATCTTTTACATTTTTACAGCTGCAAGAGCAGACTAGTGTCAAGATCTGATTAGGTTTTGGCCATGCTGATTAAATCACATGGCCACCATTTTGCACTTTAAAGTGTGGTATTTATCAACCTGTGTCTTGTTCTATAACAAAATGTTTGGCTCTTAACCACCATTCCCCACCAAAATCTGTTTTGCAGATTGATATTCAGCCCCCCCCCCCCCCTTACATTGCATGAATACTTAAATCCAAACATATCATTCATATTTACTTGTGTTTTCAGCAATAGTGACTGTTCATACCCCACTAAAGATATTTAGTATGGGTGCATAGTATCAGGTAAATGAAATATTTTGCTGTATTTCAACTGCAGCTGTATTTCAACTGCAGCAGTATTTCAACTGTAGCTGTATTACTATTGCAGCTGTATTTCTATTGCAGCCTTATTTCAGCTGCATTATTTTCAATAGAGCATGTTGTTAGTTAAGTGGTCAAGATTTTTGAATCATTTGTAATGTTTTAATCTGTCTTTTTATGTGTCAAATTATGAATTGATTTAACCAAGAATAGCAAAAATACCTCATGTAAAAGAATCAATTTTAAGGTAGTGCTGCACTATCAGAAAAAAAAAATTTTGGAAATGGTACTTCATTTTCAACAAAATATTAAGAAAATATTTTTATTTTGAAGTCTGTATTTTATAATAATGTGTAAAAATATCCATATATCCATTTCATCAAATTTTGGTAGTTTTGTAATCATGAAATTACATGTGTATTAATCATGCAGACGTACCTAAGACATGTAAGATCTCAATTCAATTGAAAATCAAATTTCAGATTAGGCCAGTTGAAATCTCTTGGCATTGTTTTGTTTATTAATAATCCAATGCAATAATTAGCCTTGAAAGACATATGCATTTAGAAATATTATTTAAATATCAACTTTGGTCAAGTACATACATATAGTAGCAAAATGATTACCATACATGTAGTTACATGTATTTCTGTTTTGCAGACTTAATTTTCTGACATTTCTTTATGTAATTGAAAGACAATGTGCTCTTTTTAATTAGTAACAATATTTTATATAATTTGTGCATGCAAATCACTTACTTGTATTAATTTAGTTTCTATGCAATTTACAAAAGTATTTATTATAATAAACTCAATTATTTTACAATACATGCCTATTTCTTGTTATTATCAACTTTTTACCATTAACCTGTATTTAGCGAACACCTATGGACCCATAAAAAACTGTTCAACGTAGGTAGGTGTCCACTACAAAGGGGGGTCATATACAAGAGCGTGTAAAATGTGTCTTGAAGTGGTGTTCACTAGAGAGGAGTGTTAACTAACACAGGTTTTACTGTACTTTACACCTCCATAGTCCACAATTGTCATTTTTTATTACGTATTGGGGAGTTTCCACGATCTAAGACAAAGTCCCATAGAGCTACATAAGGGTTATGTACTGGGAGGTTTTGGATACAGGTTTTATCCCAAGGGAAATATGTGTATATCCCGAGGGACCGCAGGGACCGAGGGATATACACATATTTCTCGAGGGATAAACCCTGTATCCAAAACCGACCGTACATAACAGATGTATTTCATACCTACTGATGTTCTAGGTAGTCATATACCTTATAAAGTTCCAAAATTCAAAAATATACTTAAGATACGCATTTTCTTGGTGTTATAAAGTGGTTTTTTAAGTTTCTGAGATTATCAAACTCATATAACTCATATTTTGAAAAATAAAATTTGATGGAAAAATGGGAAAAAATTTTGAAAAAAAAATTGAAAAAAAAATTTGAAAAATTTGTGTAAACAATTTTCAGGAGCGGGACCGGGATGGATACAGTGTGTATCCATCCCGCCCCGGGCCTTGGCTAGATACAGCAGGGGCGTAGGAAGGTGTAAATTCAACACTACGCCAAAAATCCCGCCAAAAATATGAAACAATTGTGTCAATATTCTATATCAAAACGCCTATTTTATGCTCGTAAAACGTCATTTTATGGTAACAGAGATTTTAAGCTTGCAATGTTTTTCACAACCTAAATCTGAACGGAAATTGAGCGATGCATTTGCATGGGCGATTGGTCATACGTATAGGTTGGCGTTTCGATTTTATATGCAAGCTTTAAATCCCTGATACCTTTTTAATGTGCTTTAAAATGTTCGAATGATTTTCATATTTTAAAATCACCTTGGAAAGCCTATCTTTTAAATCTCGACACAAATCATTCTCACTTTGCAAATGTCTCGAATGATTGAGACAACCAATTTCCAAAAAATAACAAATTTTTTAATCATTTTCGAATAATTAAATTTAGATATAGTATTGTCTGATTTCATGCAATACAATACGTACAGATTAAAGAAACTAGTTTGATCAATTGATATAAAGAAACGCATTCGTGATCAATGAAACAAATAAACACCCCCACCACAAAGGTCAAATCGAGGTCAACGTGACTTAGGGGGTGCCAAAATGTTATAAAACAAGAATCTATTATTTTTCTAATTTCTAGAACTGAAATCAATGGAACGTGAATAATCAGCAGTTTCAAGTTGTTTTTGTCGTTAACATTCATATTTCAAGAAGTACTACCAATAACAATTAGTGATTTATTAAGAAAACAGATAATTGCTGACTTAACTATAATTTCTGTCTATGATTTTGCCTGGCAACGGAATATAAACGATGTAGTAAAATTGAAAAATCGGGGAAGGGGAGAATAAAAAATAAAATCTAAATTTAAAGAGGTTCATCATTATAATTATATGATACCATACGAGTTTGCATAATAGCATTACGGAACATGCTCTCAAATTCGTGAAGAGAACGCGATCCACGAATATTTGGCGAAATTGTATTTTACTTTTAAAATTCATAAGATAGTCAATAGTGGCTCGATTTTCATGAAATAAAGCATGTTGGTAAGGGAATTCAATCTGTTAAATGATATTTGCCAGACAGACCAATAATGATATGGTATCCACAAAACATTTCTTTAGGCTAGGGTGCCCGAGATTACTTTTACAATTTATGAACAATGAGAAAATATGACTAAATAACATAGGAAAATTAATAAGTCTTTTTTTATTCTCACTTTTCAACACTACGCACTGGCGTTTTGGCGTACATTGTTCCTACGCCACTGTACAGTATATATTCCCGCTCGTTATGTACCTAGAACCTCAGTAGGTATGAAATACACCATTATAAACCCATATTTCTGTAAAACCTAGTATCTGAAGAGTTCTCAAAGTGAACGCTTTTCAGTCCAATTTTCAGATCACATGGTAAGCAACAGCTCTCACTCACTCGTCCGTCTGTCCATCCGTTCGCCCATCCATTTGCCTCAAAACCTCACAACGTTGTATTGTGTACTTAACATACTGATCCCTAAAAAATTAGTAGACTTATTCAATACTGAGTATATATTGCTTGTGTTAGCTTTGCCCCAAGTCTGTATCTTTGACTTATCTGATCTTGAATTATTACCAGCGGTCATAATAGAAATCAAGATAAGTAAAAGAGACTGACTTGGGCAAGGCTGTGCTTGTGTGGCCTAGCCTACACTCCCCTCCATAAGTTTGGCAACCTTAGCTCCCCCCCATTGAACTACGTGTTAAAGCCTCTTTACCTTTGATTTTTTATTAACTTAATCTGCGATGAAAATACGTATACTATTGATGGAAATGTAATTTGACTTTATTTCCAATACCTCCAAATTTTCTCATCAATTTTCGACCTATTGTAATTGAGGAAAAAATTGAGAAAATTTGGAGGTATTGCAAATAAAGTCAAATTACGTTTCCATCAATATTATGAGTTATTTCATCGTCGGTTAAGTAAATAAAAATTCAAACGTAAAGAGGCTTTAACACGTAGTTCAATGGGGGAGTTAAGGTTGCCAAACTTATGGAGGGGAGTGTATATGCAAAGTTTCCAATTGCTAAAGCCCAATACTGAATATAGTTTTATATCTGGACAATTGTGCATTATGAGTTTCACAGACCCAGGTATAAGATTTAAATCCCCACTCACTGTATAATGTAGGAACTAATGCATGAGTGGGAGGGGGATGAACTCTTGTTGCCATGTCTGTGATAAGTCTTCTTCAAGTGACATGTCACAACGATATAATATTTTAAAAACTTCTGCTCTAAGTATCTATAGATGTCGCTAATGCAATACTTTACAAAATATTGCGTGTATTGAAATTTTGAAATATTGATTCTTTTTAATAACCAATTGAAAAGACATTTGTAAGAAGTCCCAAAATGTCTACAGCGTAACTATTACCAGTTGAATATTGATTTATAAACCATAACTGTCCAATATCTAGACCTCTAGACGGACTCTCTGTTTTTTTGCACTTCAATTAATAGAGAACATTACCATGATTACGATCCTCTATTATAGACCACGAACTGGCAAAACAATTTCTCTAATTATGTGTTAAAACGTGGACAGAAATGGCATTTTATTCCGGAGTAATATGAACATGTTTTGCTTGGTAACTCTTTTTTAAAAGAAATATGGATACTCTCAAGATATGATATTTTTCTCAAATCTTTTCCTATAAACAGTATTGTATGGCCTTTAACACAATGAGATACTATGTAGGAAGCATATATACAACATTCCTTAATTAACAAAAACAAGAAGTTGATTCTTCTTCCATTAGATGAGGGCATGAACTTTAAAAGATTGAATTCAGATTTTGATAACATCCCTAGTGAATATGTTCTGACTTCACACAAAGCATTCTTTAAATGTTTCCTTACATAGAGCACATTGCAGGAACGTATGAGCAAATTAAAGTTGAATACATGAATGCGGATCGAAAATCATAAAATATTGCTTTGGAAGGTTGAAATCAAGCTTTTAAGAGGTTTAAGAACTGAAATGAAGGTAAGTAATATGTAGATATGTATTCTCAACACTAAAGACGGGGTTGTGTCATCGGTATATCATCAATACCTAGTTAACAACTAGGATCTTAACCTAAGAATCTTCGCACTTATCAGTTACATTGAGTGGATTAAGGATTTAAGCCCTGGACTCAATGCAATGTGGAATGGCCATTCTTTGGAGGTGTTGCTTTCCAAAATTTGCAGGACATGCGCAGCATCGAGTGTTAATTTTAGGAAGTAATGCCTAAAAGGAATAGTCATTCCACAATGCATTGAGTCCTGGGCTTAAATTCCTTTCACACATTGCAAAATATTTTCTATCATGTCACACATCACTATAAGAAAATATTTTAATTGAAACTTTTTGCAAGGGTCAAGTTGGCTTAGCATCAATTTCAATGCATAGAGTCCTTTTTTCACCTTGACAACCACACATCAAATTCGTTATTGATAGTGCAGTGATATGAAATACTATATTCGGATTGGCTGGAATCGGACACACCTTGCCTAGCTATATGTGGATTCACTTTTAAAAATGAATGTGAAAATCAAACAATAATTTATAGCAATCTTGGCTAAAAACATACACAAACAGTTTCCACTGCCAAGGTCCATAGGTCAATTCTTTTAACAATACTCTTCCTAGCTTAGATTTAAACAATAAAAAGATATTCACTAGAACACATATAACGTTCAGCACTAAGTTGAATATTTCAGCCAAGTGGAGAACTTAGACTAATTAAGACTGATGCATATTGCATAATAATGTTTATTGATGATTGTTATAGAAAATGGCTGAAAAGTATGTCAAAGAAGATGCTCCTCTCACCGATGTACATAAACGAACATTACAAAGATGTCATCCTGATATAGTTCCAAATCTGGAAGTCCGAGATATAATAGATGTTTGCCATCGGGATTCTATTTTAACAAGTACAATGATTGAAGAAGTCATGTCAGAGAAAACATCTTCTGAGAGATGCAGAGCGCTTTTACGAAAACTGGAAAGCCGTCCTATAAAAGCATTCAATTCATTTGTTGATGCATTGTATGAGCATCATGATTTCTTGGCGACGGAGATCCAAAAGCGACTTTGTGAAGAAACTCTTGATCAAGCAAAGGCTATTCTTGGACTGGCGAATGACATTGCTCCCACTGGCATAAAAACGATAGAAGGTGATGAACTTGAAATCACCAAATCAAAGTTGAAGACGATAAGAGATATGGCACATCAATTGATGGTCAAGTGTAATCTCGATGAAACAACAACTCTGTCACACAACATGTCTGAAACAAGTGTAGACCAAGTTGACGCTCCCATAAAGTCAACAGTCGCTCCACCATCGCCCAGGTCTATGGGGGCAACTCTGTCAGTTGTTCCTCAACAAGAGCTACCCGTCTCGTCCTATCAGAGAGAGACATTCGCATTACCTAGAAGGAGAGTCCTAGAAGTGCCCCAAACCCTCCAAAATACACCTATAAATGAAACCATTTTTAAATACGTAATGTCAATAGCAGTCGTTTCAACTGGTGATTATGTTATAAGTGGGTGGGTCAACCCTATCAGCAGAAAAGCCCTGCTATGTGATGATCAAGTGAATGTAAAGAAGAAGTTGGTGGAACGATATGCTAAGGATGTGGCAACTAGCACAGATGTAGTGGCTGTATCATGTAAAGCTCCTGATATAGCTGGTTCAGTGAAGTTGTTTGACATTAGAGGAGAACATCTAAGAGACATAACATCCCCTACTATCCCAGACCCAGGGGCAATGGCATTCAACCAACAACAAGAGCTTATCCTAGCAGATCATTGGAAGAAAACGATATCCTTCATCGACATCAATACAGGAAAGGTGGTACATACAACTCCCAGTGGCCATGAAACGTATAAAACAGGTAGTATTGGAGTTAGCAACCAGAATAATATCATAATCACAGACTTTGGCGATAACTCTGTAAAGATCATCAATAGGCAGGGGGATCAACTATCATGCTATAAAGGTATAGGCTGTTTCAACAAGATTCCTAGCAGTGTGTGTATAGACAGTGTAGGACATATCATTACAGCCTACCAAACATATCATGACATCCATCTCCTATCTCCAGAGGACAACTTCAAGAAGATCCTGATGAGTGAAAGCGATGGGTTAAAGAAGCCAAGTGCAATAACTCTGAACAGACAGGGGGACCTTGTAATATGCACGTGTGGTCCAGTAAAACTCTTTGTACTGAAATATATGGACTAAGTCTGACAGCCATATATGATTTAACTATACAAGAAACTGTTACTCTGTCATGGAACACTCTCGAGCATACTTACATGGCATATAGCTCTGGACAGACAGGGAGACCTTGTAGTAGGCACAGGTTTACCAGCAAAAGTGTATGTAGTGAAGTATATGGACTGAGTCTTTGTTGCTAACTTTGCTTTTTATTGCTTTTTTACATAGAACGTTTGCATATTTTGACGGCTTTGTATAAAAAAAAATCCTACCTCATACCCACCTTCCCACCAACCTGGAACATGATACTGTCATTTAAGGGTTCAATTTTAAAGATTATGAAATCACAAAATAGTTCAAATTATTAACATTTCAATCTACAATTCCGGCTTTATTTTATAACTAGACAGATGACAGATCCATAAATAAAGGCATATGGATGCATTTTAATGACCCGAGGGCGCCCCAGGGGAATAAATAACTGAGGAGCATAGGCCCAACAAGCCAGATGAAGAAATTGAAAGAAAGTGTGCTAAATTCGATGCCCCGAGTGGGAATCGAACCCAGCTGGGATGTAATAGCAACTAGCTACAGGGTGGTAAAAAATGGAAACCCTGCATTTTCCTTATATCTTTGTCACTTTTAAAAATTACTCCTTGATATTTCAAACATTTGTAGGGTCGTTACAAATGCATCTATAATTCATCATAAACTAATTTTTTAATAAACTAAGATCTTTAAAACTGAACCCATCAAAGACTGTATCATGTCCCACGTACGTTGGTAGGTGGGTATGAGGTAGGAGGTTTTTTATAGATTGGCTCTTTATCATTACCAGAAACTCGTACAGTTTCATGCAATCGAACTACCCTGTCTCGTGTAAAGTTTGAGCATCCAACTCCTCTTATTATAAAATGTAGAGCCTACTGTAAAAAACTTTTTGATCAACCATTTTACTATAATCTAATTGTTATTGCGTAAATAAAAGATAATATATTAACTTATCTTGCTTGCATAATAAATGTAAACAGACTATATGATGCCATATTTAAATCATTTTTTATTTCCATTATTAATCTTATAGTTATAACATGCTGTTAATCCTTGGTCCAAGGGTATTTCATTTCTTTCCGTAACATCTGAATTTAATGATAAATGAAATCCTTTGCATGTTGTTAATTTGCATATTATACATACTTTTTCTGGTAAACAAATTGCATAGTTTAGCTACAAGCCCTTCCCTTGTGATCCCCTTACTGCAAATCTCAACAGGTGTAAGAGGGATTACTGCCAATTAAATGGACAGGGATACAAGGGCTTATAGCTAGACTGAAATTAAGAATATGAAGGAATTGAACATATTTGTTCATTATCATGATCACGGACTCTTCGTGTATGTTTATAATCTTATTCACTTTTTCATCCTAAAAGTCAAGCAACGGTCCATATGATCTATTTCCGTTATCATTATGGTTGCAGAAATAATCAATGAAAGCATCAACAAACTCCTTTTCTGAGATTTTCCCGTCATGATCTATATCAATGTAATCAAACTGCAATCTTGCTAGACTTGGATCAAGGTTATAGGCTTTCCAGAAGATCAAGTACTCTTCAAAGCTGATGGCTCCATCAGAGTTGAAGTCCAAAACCTGTAAAATGAGTTATCTCTGACAATGACATACTGTATAAATTATCTTTTCAGATTGAGGGTAGCCGGTGTCCGTGCACCTAGTAAATACAATTTGACGAAGAAACCCCGAACCATTTTAGTATCAGAAATTATTCTATACTTAAGTTCTGATCGAAGGTCGATTTTCAAATGGCTTCTGGTTTCAAAATGTTTGCATTTTTAGTGTCAATTTTACAGCTCTTTAGGTGCAATATATAAAAGTGTAAAATAATAAATATGTTTTGATCACAAAAGTACTGAGGCGATTTTGTTCATGGTTGATATGTGATTACTTGTAAGTAGGACACACATTCTAATGCCATTTTGTCTAGTTGGTGGTCATTTTACAAAATAGCAAACATGTTAACGTGTGTTATTTGACTTTTTACTATAGCTAGCTCGACCATTTCTTCGCTGTACTAGCCAATATAAGAAAGTGTCATATGCTTCTAAGTAGTCATATATAATATATGAACCAAATGTTTGCCGACGATGAAAACCATTGACGATGATGGTTTGGCCGACGGTTTATGTTTGTCATCTTTTTTTCTACTTTAACTAGAAGAGTAGCGATTTTGTTGACATTTTATATGTGACTACTTAAGTGCATATTACTCTTTCATCCATTTTGTTGTTTTACATTGCAGCTATAACTGGAAGTATTGTAAATGCGGCTATTTTGTTGAAATAATATATACGAAACTGTGGATAGCAATACTGTCTTATGATAATTTGGCTCTAAATTGGCGGACATATTTTCCAAAAAACAACCATGGCCTTTCGATGGGGTTTGCTATGCCTTGGCGCTGTTGTTATCTAGTTGCTATATAGATCTTATTACGTTTATGAATACAATTTACCTGAAATTGTTTTTGCCAAAACGTAATCCAGATCTTCAGCTTTTCTGGATCATCTGCCATTGCCCACGCATGATTTACTTGTTCTACAAATGACTTTTCATAGTGAAAATTAGGGACTGCTTTTTCAGTTTCAGCAATAGCATTCCCCCAGAATTCATATACTTTGTCAGCTGCTCTGCCTTCTAAACAGCCTGGAATGTGATGGTAAAGCTAAGTTCGCATCAACGGCGCTTTGATGGCGCTGCATAGCAGCGTGCAAAGCGACTTTGCGCGGCGCTCTAAAGCATCAACGGCGCTTTGGTGGCGCTTTAATATGGCGTGCAAAGCGGCTTCGCACGTTGCTTTAAAGCGCCATCAAAGCGCCGTTGGTGTGAACTAAGCCTTAAACACAAACACATGTAAACTATTATTGACACGCATTTTGAGCCAATGAAATTGCTCTCCAGCCAGTGTAGCCATTGTAGCTAATGATTAAGTGATTGGTTAGTTGGAACCTGTTAAGCTACGTTCACACCAACGGCGCTTTGATGGCGCTTTAATGCAACGTGCAAAGCCGCTTCGCACGCCGCATTAAACGCCATCAAGCAAAGCGCCGTCGGTGTGAACGTAGCTTAATGAAGCATATACTAATACTATGCCACTAAATCTGAGCACATTACCTAGCTTTACAATATTGTCTGCCAGTGTCATTGAATCTTCATAACTAAAGTGGCCATCGTTATCACAATCGTGAACAAAGATTGCAGTCACCATCTTTCTCACCCATAGTCGAGGGAGATCACATAGACGCGCCTTCTGTATATTGAAAAGTAACAACAGGCAGTAGAAATATTTCGATAGTTTTTTAATCAAAGGGGCAACAAGGACTGTAGAGAGAACTTTTTTACCTTTTCTGAGTTGTCAGTGCAACATTTGACTTTAATCCTTAGGGTGTTCCTCTTTTTGTTTACTTATTTTTATCTATTTTTATTAATTTTAAAAACTAAGATAACAAAAACAAACATTTATAATTTAGCAAGAGTAGAGAGAGAGAGACATGGGTACGACCCAGCTTCAAAGCAATAATAATGTCACTTAAAGTAGCATCACTTAACGCAAAGGGTTTGCAAAATAGGATCAAAAGGAGAAAAATAGTCAATCTTACAAGAAAAGCCAAAATTGACATTCTCTTACTCCAAGAAACACACAGTCGATCCAAGCAAGAATCATTATGGTCTCAGGAATGGGAGTTCAAGGCTTTTTTCTCACAGTACTCACAAAATGCAGTAGGGGTAGGAGTACTGTTTTCTAATCGAAGTGACATAGAAATTATAAAAAATGAAACAGACTCAGATGGAAGATATATCCTTATCCAGTGCCTGATGCATGGGAGGCCGACACTATTGATAAATGTTTATGGATTCAATCATGACAATGTAATCGTGTATCCAAAACTTAACGAAAAACTCAGAGAATATATAGACCACCAAATCATTAAATTGGAGGGACTTCAGTGTAATTTTAGAGCCAAATATCGATAAATATGGTGGAAGAGATGCAACACGTGGAAAAACAAGAGAACAAATTAATGCACTAATCGAAGATTTCGATCTTCTAGATGTATGGAGACAGAAAAACAAGAATATTAATGACTATACATGGGAAAACAACAATTCAACCGTCAAGTGTAGACTAGACTAATTTCTTGTTTCAGGAGACGTATTCCAATGTACAGAAAAACCCGTAATAGATCCAAACACATATATCAAGATTACAGACCACAAACTAATAACCCTTAAATTAAAATTTACAGATCAACCATGTGGTCCTGGACTTTGGAAAATGAATAACCAATGGATTGGAGATGAAGAATATGACCAATTTATCAAACACAGTATTCAAGAAACAACAAAGCAAAACACAAATCTACAACCAAATATGCTATGGGAGTTAATAAAGCTTAACATAAAACAAGTTACAGTCAAATTTTCAAGACTAAAAAAGAAGAATCAAAAACTAACCTTGATATCAAGATGCGCCGCAGAATTCTACTACATCAACAAAAGCAAACTGCTGCTTTCCAAATAGAGCAAAAGAGATTAAATTATGAAATTGAAATCCTTGACAATGAAATTGACATTTTAAACACAGAAAAAGCTAAAGCAACACTATTTAGAGGTAAAGTTACAGTGTAGGTGGATTGAAGAAGGTGGTAACTCACAGCTTATATACAGTATACAGAAAGACTGTAAGCCCGCAATAGCATGACATAATTTGTATACACTCCCCTCCATAAGTTTGGCAACCTTTTTTCCTCATTGAACTACGTGTTAAAGCCTCTTACCTTTGAATTTTTATTTACTTAACCTGCGATGAAAATACTTATACTATTGATGGAAACGTAATTTGACTTTAATTCCAATACCTCCAAATTTTCTCAATTTTTTTCCTCAATTACAATAGGTCGAGAATTGATGATGAATTTGATGAATTTTTGAAAATCGACATTCCCATGTTAACCAATGGGAAATGGTAGGTTTGCCGCAAGTCATGTGACAGAATATCCATCCATCCGAGTCCTTGCAAAAAATACGAGTTAGGCAGGCAATTGAATTTGCTAACTTTATTTAACAAAAGATTGATATGTTTCTTCATGTTCAACAAAGTTATAGGGCTTTTAAGTCAAAGTTGTTTTTCAAAAAAACTCTCCCATTGAAATAACACAGGGGGCGAAAAATTATTTTCAAAAATGACTTTGAAGCGCTGTAACTTTTATATTCATCAAATAAACTAAACACTTAATGTTTTAAAAAGTTAGACAATTCAATTTTCTATATAAAAATATTTTTTGCTGAATATTTTACTGAAAAGATTTTCTGATTTCTGATTTTCCCCGAACCCTCCATTTCCCATTGGATTACATGGGAATGACGATTTTCAAAAGTTCATCAAATTTATCATCAATTTTTGACCTATTGTAATTGAGGAAAAAAATTGAGAAAATTTGGAGGTATTGGAAATAAGGTCAAGTTACGTTTCCATCAATATTATAAGTTATTTCATCGCCGGTTAAGTAAATAAAAAGTCAAAGGTAAGGAGGCTTTAACACGTAGTTCAATGGGGAAAAAAGGTTGCCAAACTTATGGAGGGGAGTGTATACAGTAAACTGTAGTACTGTACCCCCGTAATGTAATTTGTATGCATTGTAAACTGTACCCCCGAAATGTTACGACATGATTTGCATATGCCTATACAGTAACATTGTCTTTCAATCATCCTGTTAATTAAGGAAACTAACCTGTTTTGTATTTTCTTCCATATCTGTTTTTCCCTTTGGTTAAGGTAATATTTAACTGTTATTCAGAAAGGTAAATACAGGGTGTCCGGAAAGTAAAG